GATATGTAGTCTGTAAATATTGCTTGTTATCTTCCTGAAGTTCATCCAAAATCTATATTAGATTTAAATAATTAAAATATAGGTCTTTATGTTGTATTAGGCCTTTTGAGCACATTTCAGTGTATTTCGTATCTATTCTACTCTTTATTTGAAGGCAGCTGACACTCTTCTTTCACTTTTCTTTTTGTTTGTGAAATTTTCTTTCTTTTTTTTATCCACTCACTTCTCCATCTGCTTTCACTTTTGTTTGCTTGGGCCGTCTCTCATCCCAACTTGATAATGAGGAATGTGGTGTGACCCTGACCTCTATCAGCCCATGCATGACCTTCTGACTCCTCTACCTAACCTTTGACCTTTTCTTTGACAGCTTGATTAATTACCCTGTGTTATGATTTATGAGTAAGTGCTATGTAAAAATAATAGACAACAGGTGGTCCTCTAAAAACTTTTTGTGGCATGTTTTCTTTTCCTGCCTAACTTGATGGGCTATTTTAAGTTCGAAACTTGCTGGGACAATGTGTGTTTGGCAGTAATACTGCATTTTTACACACTTGGACACAGCAGTGGAATTCAGGAGCCTGAGAGATGAGGTGTTACTCAGATGAAAATATTACAAAGTGTTAGCAGGGTGCAGTTGCCAAAATGCACATTGGGTAGAAATACAAAAAGGAGTCAACTGACATTTCAGGCGTTTCAGTCTCAGGTCACGTCTTGAGAAAATTGCTCAAATAATGGAGGGGGCATTTTTCAAGCTGAGCGGCATCTCCAACAGCTATGTTTACTTTTACGCTTCACTAGTGACTTCTGATTGGTTGTCATGACCTCATCCTACTGTTGCACCTAGGATGTTGCAACAGTGACACATAGGTACCCTTCTCATGAAAAAGATGGGAAATAAACAGAATATACATCTTTCAAAAAGACGAATGACCATTCCTTATGTCCATTTTAACCATGCACAGGTCTAAGTTACAGATCTAAGTTCTTTTGATTGCTTTTCCCTGGAGGATTAACTATGATCTTGCTTCAGATGATCTAAAAAGATTTTTTTTAAATGGATTGATAAAGCTCAGGAAAATGATCTGTTACAGATTCTTACTTACAGGCCAAAAAGATAGTTACATAGGTCAAGGGATTCCACTCTAGCCTCTGACCTCTCTGGTCACATATGGTATCCCATCCTGCTGGATTAATATGCAGGGCTGAATGCTTTCAGCACATTATTCATTTGGCCAGACACAAGAGGTTTGTAGAGTTCTCAATTTTTAAAAATTTCCATTGACTGTCCTATTACTACCAAATATGCTGTATTAGTTTTGTATATATGCTGTCTTTGAGGCATCTTACATAGACTTCCAAAGTAGTCACTTCTTGTATTATAATAGTTATATTTTACTACCTTATACCTTGTGACATTTGTGTGACATTTCATACATAACTTCTTTGAGATTCTTGATTGTTTCCAGCACCTAAGTTTACTTTTTCTTCAACCATCATCTAAAATAATAAATGACAAGCAGGCTCATATATATGAATTAATGCTAGTACATTATCAATGTTAAGCTTCCTGAAAATGTTGTTGCAAATGTGTTCTTAAACTGAACTACCTGATGCGATAGAACACGAAGTCATGTCTGGTATGCTTGTGGTATAAGCACTGCATGATATATTCTATAACTGAAGTTGGGTTCTATCAAATTAGCTCTTGAGCTAACATCCCACTGTACCAGTATTGGTTCTGATAACATCACATCTAAGAACAGATTGCACTTATTGGTCTATAGAGATGAATTTGAAGTTTATTGTGTGCTTTATTTCCCCTCAAACTGGTCAATACCAATATATTCAGTTGGCCTATACCAGTATAGTAGACTTTTGCAGAGCATACATTTATGTTAGCTAGTCCTAAGTAACTAGTTATGGGGGGAAACAGTATTTGAAATGGTCTTCAAATATATTTGAGAATGTAGCCCACTCATAAAATAAGGATATAAACATTCCTACATTTCTAAAGAAAATAGTCTTTAAAAATAACTTGTGAGTTTGTTTAATTTCCTGGAGACTTTCTCATATATAATCTGATATTTCTGTTGGACCACCTATACAGGATTAGTAGCTGCTTATCTGTTGTTACTCTTCTGAATAGCCATTTATATATCAGGAAAATGCTTTCCAAATATGAAGTAAGCTGTTTTCTGCTCACTTTTTCTACAGGGTACATTATACATTGTGAGCCATTTTAATAAATCTATATCTAGTATTGTTCATAGCATATTTAAAACCTTTACCTAAAATTACACTAATGTCAACATGGCTTTAAGTTGGTGGTTATATATGGAAATTACCTGTGTTTTGACATTGGTAATTTGGTGACTGTTCATTTTTGTTTTAAATTTTGAAAATGAAGAACTCATTTTAAGAGTCTTATATGCAAGAACTACAGTTTAAAGACAGAAATACTTGAGACCCTTTTTAAAATCTTTTTAAAAACCCTAGCAGAACTACTTTGTTTTCATAGGTGGGGAGGAAACAAAGGTCATCCTATGGTTAAAGACTTAGATTAACTTTTGATAGGTTAGGTTGGTAACAATTTAGTACTACTGATAGAGGTTAAATTCTGCTGCAGTTGTATACATTATGTTGTATTTCTATATCCTTTCATCTGCACAACTATTGTATGTTACTCCTAATCCTCTTTCCTATGCCTATTTTTCCTTATGTAATTTAAAGTGGAGTGGCAGAGGACAAAAGATATAAAAGTGTATGACATTATGTCAACTTTTTTTTACAAACAAAATGAAGTTTATAATGGATTTTTAGAAAGAAACCATGAAGCACGCAACAGAATACTGCTGTGTTAATTTCATTGTTTCGCCAACAAATGTGGTATATTGAAAGAAGTTTTAAAAGACATTCTGAGGGATGGTTTATGCTGTTTAAAATCTAATTGATAAAAATCCTTTAATTGATTTATGTAGCTGTGATTTTTGAAATGGATTCATTTTTCATCTCTTGATATGTCTGTGAAAAATTGACATTATGTCCTCATAAAATTGGACAAATGAGTCATGTAATTTTCAGTTACGTAATCAATAACTTAGACAAATTTTACTTCTCTGATGATTTATGTGTGTCTGTTTTTGTGAGCTGCAAAAACTGGACACAATTTCACATTTCAGTATCACATGTAAAACCATAACAGATACATGAATTTTACATCTTGCATCGTACAGATAGGAGAAAGAATCAATACAGTGAACATCTGCTCACAATAAGCAGATCATGAACATGGATAGCAAACCCTGAACACTGCAGAGCACCATCTCTGCATGGTTATAAAAAGTTATATTTTCCCCCTACCAGTTACATAAAACAGTATGAAAACTTTGTTTAGTTGCACTGTTTTTAGTACTAGTTGTTTGTTAGTACCTTAAGGCAACAATCTGATTTTTAATGTTACTTACTTTTTAAAAATTGGACAACTGATCTTAAACTAATTTACGTAACTAATTGATTCTGCTGATGTATGATTTCTGTATCATATGTGGCCATTCCATTTCAACTGTACAGTGGGTATGTGTGACTGTTTAGGTTTACTCTGAGGAGGGAGCAAGGAAGAAAGATGACAGGAGACCACTTACTCATGGTTCAGAGTCTAGAAGGAGGCAATTTTCTCTTTGGCCTGTGGTGACCTTTATACCATGTTCCCTTACACCACAGACAGTGAACTGAATGCCTCTATTTCACCCTGCTTAACAGAGTGCAACAGTGTTCTTTAACTTAGTTTTGGTGGGAGGAGAAGGTATAGTAGAAATTTGAGAAGGGCGTGAAAACTTGTACAGGCACAAGGAAGAGGAGTAAGAACTTTCTTCAAATGTGATTTTAATAACTAGTCGAGTGTGTCCAACTGTAGAAAATCACTCAGTGACAATCTGTCTACCTGACAGTTATTACAATGCATTACAAGATTTTTGAATGGCTACACAGATTAGAATAAAGCAACACTAAATAAAGTATCTTTTGTTGCTGTTAGATTTGGTTAACTTTAATCAGCTATAGGTAGTCTTTCATCTTTCCACTTGAACTGGCTCTTAGACAGAAATGACATGTTTTGTTAACTAGGTTAATGTAGGCTTATTTTAGTCCCTGGAGTTTTTTAATTACAGTGTAAAAGGAATTATTATATAATGTTAGATTGATTAAAAATTATATGTTTTTCTTTTTCATACTAGTCTTCTGTGTTCTAATTTATTAAACAAAATGTCACCATTTTTTCCTGTTACATACATCCAGGTATTCCTCATCTGTCACCAGTGAAATGCTTAATGTACTTGTACTGAAAGCTGAAAACATAATGCATAACTTAATCCTAGCAAACCTATTCATGTCCTAAAGTGAAAACTAATTCATTGATTTCTGAGCAATATCAAACAATCATTGTTGGTATTGATTTATTGTTACTGCTGCTATCAATTTACAAATTATCTGCTATTGGACAAGAGACTGTTAATACTATAAACTGCAGTTCTGTACACAATTTGATCGCTTTAATCCCATGGATTTTAGAGGGGTTTAAGCAGCCCAAGTGCTTACAGGACTGCAACCTTAAGCTGTTTTGAATAGTTTCCAGAGGGAGTTTCCCCCAGAAGTATCCTTGTTAATGGTAGAAGTTTTATTAATGAAGCATTAACCACACACAGCCATAGCCACATTTTATTCTGGACTCACATTTTGTTTTTATTTCAACTTTTTTTCTTGATAAACTGCATAAAATATTGAAAAGTTCTTAAAAGGTTAAAGAACCAAGCAAATAAGTGAATAAAAGTGGACACAGTGTTAACACATTCAAATACAAACACAAAAGAAATGAAACCATTATATCTTTTGTTAACTTTACAAAAACTACTTAAATGTACATTTACATATATAAAATTAATTGTAAACCATTTCAAAGCAAAAATCTATGCATATTCTTCCCCCCCCCTCCTTCTTTGAAACAGGAAGGCTATGGAGTAATAGTACTGAATCCAAATGAGAACTATATTGAAGTTGAAAAGACAAAAGCCCAAGTACAGCTGTCTTCTGATACTTCAGATGAACCTGCAGAAAAGAGAGAGAGAAAAGATAAAATCCAAAAAGATACAAAGAAGCGGCGTGACTTTTATGAAAAATATCGGAATCCACAAAGAGAAAAGGAAACAGTGCAGTTGTATATTAGAGTAAGTCTATCTAATTTGCTTTGCAATTCTATTGAATAACAGAAAATTCTTTTTCATTTCGTTTTATAATAATATGCTTTTAAAACAATTTAAATATTACTCAAGTAGTTGCCAAATGCTCAACGAGACTATTGTTGTTGTTATTGAATGGTCAATTGAAGAACAGTAATATTTCTATTTAATTTCAAAGAAGAACATCAAGTAAATCCCAAAGGAACAATCTGTGTATTTCAAGCATAAGGGCTGATTTGAAGAATACTTGGTTTTTAAAAGTTAATATAAAGAAGCACTTTCTAGATATAGTTCAGGAATCTTGTTGATTTTACAGAATATTCTTTATTTGCAGCATTATGCCATTATCTTCTTGAGAAACAGTAGCTTAGATTGTTTTTAGAGCAACATTTGACTATATATTGTCTGGAAAATTAATACTATATTTGAGGGAAATGTTGATGTTCATCTTGTGTGGTTCTAGCGTGCCCTATAATGTGCTGTTTTCGTAGGAGCAGCTGTCCAGTATATGTCAGTTAAACTTCTGCAGGCAGATAAAGGGAGAGTGTGTTATTAATATCTTAATAAATATTTAAGCCAGAATAGTTCAAGAATAGTGCAGTGAGGAAATTCTGTCCCTTGCTCTTTTCTTTTCTTAGCCAGTGAACCTTTGCACTTTGTAATGCTAGCAGCATGGGATCGTTATAACAGCGCTACCCAAGGATTTCTAATTCTGCAGGGGGCACAAACAATATTATTTGCACTTTGACACATTCTTCTTCATATACATATGATGCATTATACATTGTAGACAGATTCATGCAATTTTCAAAGCTCTTTTTATAGACGTTAGCATTGTTATTCAACAATAAAATATGTCAGAAATTTTTCAGTGTCGTTAGGATGCTGTGTCTATGGTGACTGAACAGCCAAAACCATTTTGGGAAACATTTTAATTTTTAACATTATCATTATTATTAAATGTTGGATGAGTTCGATGTATAGATCCAAAAGAGTTTTACTAATTAGTTTTACTATTCATAGTTGTAGCTAGAAAGAACAAATATGTATGAATGAATTGGGAACAGGAAAATGAGGAAAATAATTGTTTACAAAAAGTAACTCAGTAGACTGTTTCCCCTATTTATTGCTTTAAATGACTTGTAATAATTGCCCAGTCATCAGTTCCACTGTATGACAAGACTTGTAATAATTGCCCAGTCATCAGTTCCACTGTATGACAAGTCCCTGGAACCTTTGGAGGATTCTGAATGTGCCCAGAGACAAGAGTAGTTCTCAGGTTTTCCTTGACAATTGGACTTTGGCTGTTAATGCTGAGTACGTCTCAGTCAGTTCCCCATCACATACTTTCCTCCCTTATGTGGAGCATCGTCCCTACTTGCAAAACAGCATTTCATCCTGAAGTTTGGTACAAATACCACATTTAATACTATGCACTGGACCCTTTTGCCTGTTGATGAAATGTTTGAGTTTCTGGACTATAGTTTGGAGGCAAGTTAGCATTTGAGAGGAAGCTGCTAGTTTTCTTCCATGTATGCAGTCTCCTGCCCCCTCCCCAGCCATTCAGGAACATCTCCTGGTGCTCAGAACTTCATTCTGAGGGGCTACAGGATGGAGAACTGGAAAACTGGAAATCCCCTCTTGTGTGGGCAGAAGTACTTTCCAGTCATGCAGCCAGATCTTTCAATCTAATTCTGTGTTCATTGAACCTGCAATCTATTCATGTCAAATGTATAGGGAAGAGATTATAAAGTCAAAATAAATAGGCAGACTTAATCTGAGAGCAATGAAACTTCATCTGTAAAGATATGTTTTAATTTTCTGTAACTGGCACTTATTGTTTTTGAAATTTACTTGAGTACTTCTTTACTGTTGTATTCTAAGATAAGCAATTTTGTTTATTTACTAACCTTTGAGTAAAGACTGAACTTGCACAAGATAGTGAGGTGTTACTTTTAAAAGTCAATAATACTACAACATTGCACATGAAAGCCTTATTTCCAGCACTTGGTGGGGTGGGGGGTCAGTCATGGACAGCTCACCCAATTTTGAGTGCCCTATTGTATACTAGGCACAGCTTAAAAATTGAAGTGAGCTAATTTGTGCTAATTCCTGCTATAGATGAACACTATTTGATATTCCCATTAACCAGTTCTACAGTGATGTCTACAAAACACTTTGGAATAAAGAAGATCAACCCTGTGACTCTACATAGAGAGAGGCATACAGAAGTGACAGAACTAGTCATTTTTAAATAGAAGACAAGAATAACTGCAACGGTGAGGAAAAAACACAGGCAGACAAAAATCCTGTTTCACTAAATGAATTAGCACTAAGTGCTGAAGACGCGTTAACTAATCTAAACAATAGTCAGTGTTTATGGCACAAATATTGCCTATCCCATGAATATTGTGGTTTATTCTTCAAAACTTTGACAATGCTTGCTTTCTAATTTGGGTTATTTTTCATCCAATCCTATGCATGTTTTTCTGAGGGATAAGCCCCACTGATTCCAGTGGAACTTTCTCCTAAGTAAATCTGCAAGAATCATAGCTTTAATTAGAGTATCATATTTATATCTAAAGTATATCCTTAGATATCTCTGAGTTGCCACATTTTCTTGCAGATTATTCTGGTATTCCACAAATTTCTCTAGAATAATCCATATGTACATTCATAAATTACAGAAATTATAACAGAAACAGGGCTACGAAAAGCATATAAATAGAAATGACTAACAAGAGTATGGGTACCTTTTGAAGCTTTAGTAGTACAGCATGAAAGATCAAAGTGCTTATTGTTTCTAGCTATAATTTTTTAAAATATATATATAAAATAATGTATTTGCTAGTGTATGTTACTGCTTGTTAAGAGGATTTGGTCTGGGCAATAAACTTCATCTCATACATTATGCCAGGAAAGCTTAGTTACCATGTTTTGTTAGAAGACAATTTTTTGTTCTTGACAACATCTGCCAACTAAATTCAGTAGTGAAAAGGAAAATGTCATATTTCATAGGATTATACTTCATTCAAATCAAAGCAAAATTTCCATGCATAGAATGTGATATTCCTTTCAATAATAAGAGAAAGTCTTTGTGTATGGAGATTTCAGACATTGTGAATTTTTAATTGTTAACAAATCTCTCCTCTGATCATTTTTAAAGTATCTTTTAAATATATTAATGACAGGATCAAGATGCTGAATATATACATACATTCCTTTTATAAAATACATATTTCTCCTTTGCTTACAGACACATTATTTCATTTAGGCCACCAGAGGTTGCTGCTGTACATATTGGCAAATGTTTCTCTCAGAAACATAGAACCTTAGCCAATAAATGCTAAGCATTTTATTCATTGTTGAACTAAACCCAGAACACCATAGGTGAGATGCATAGAACTACCTTACAATTCTCTGAAGGCTTGCACTTACCTAGTGGAATTGTGATTTGATTTCTTTGACACCCAAATGTCACATCACAAACTGTTTCTGATGCTTGCTGCACTTTATAATATGACTTACAGGACTGTTGTTTGAGAAAAATGAAATCTGAAGTTCCTTTCGTCTCATCGAACTAGTTTTGTGAGATTTTGGATAATGGCTATTGTCTTTTAGCAGAGCTTCTAACTGGAAATAATATAAAATCTTAATTCTTGATGTTTCCTTTCATCTCCAAATTGTTTTTATGGGTTATATTTTGGGTATAATGTCTGTTTGCATACTTCTAAAGGTAAATTGTTATTTAGCACATAAGAAATATAATATTAAGGCACAATGAATACAAATATGAAACAAGGTGCACACATATTTAGTGTTGCTTTGTTCTGTATCAGTGAAACTGTAACAGTCCTCTAATGAATGCTATTACAGAACAATCCTATGGAGAATTAGACTGGAATAATTCTGTATAGGATTGTATTATCAGTCTTCTTAAATATCTTTTCCTCATAGTTTTATTCTCTTAATAAATGTTTTTGAAGATTCAGGTAGAAAAGCTATCTTCTCATTTAATACAAAATGAAGATGTCCAGTGCCAAAATCTACAACATATTCGAGTGTTAGAGGAAGAAACAGGAATGGGAAAAGTCTTCCCTATTTATTTCCCAGTAGCTACAAACTACAGTAATATTTAATGTGAGCACAGTGAGTGGCACTCTGTCACACATACAGATGAACAAAATACTTTTTATACAAATACATTACTATTAAAATGGAGGAAAGGAATGAGAGGGAGCAGCTTTATTAACAGAAGCTGATGACAGGTGGAATAGCAGCAGGAAACCTCTACAAGATAAACAGGAACACATCATTTCTGCTCATTGTACTGTAAGATTGTTACAGTGTCTTCTCTTATTTGGTCTCTTCTTTCCCATGCAATAGTTGGGGGTACTTAAAGTTTTTGCGAGAGACTGGATTTTCTTAAACAAATATTGGATCTAGCCAACTTTTCTGTTGGTGAAAAAGGAAGGAGGGGTTCTCTTTGACCACCAAGAAAGTTTATGCGGGGGGTCATGGGACCTGCGTGAACAAAAGCAATGCATGATGGGCGCTGTAGTAAGGTGGGAAAGTAGGTGAGTGAAAAAGGTGGCTGGATTTATCCTTTGACCAATTTATTTTATCTGTTCCCTGTCCTTTCCCATTCCCCCTTCTCCTCCACACATATTTGTCAAAATAATGATGCTCAAATTTAGAAAAAGTAGGGATGAAAAAAAAATAGAATTTTGTCCTGATCCTAATCAACACATTTCCACACACACAAAGAATGGGTGGTTCAAAATATTTCTGTTGTTGTTTTTAATGTACATCACATATGTTTCATGCTGTTTGGTGCATGGTGATATATCAGTTGAGGTCACAGTGCATTTTAGTGAAGTATGTATGTTGGTTCTTTAAAATCAGTTGTATTGAGAATGAGAGATGTCTCAATTAAAGGCCTCTGCCTGACCCTGGAGAGTGGCTGCCCTTGGTAGCCTAATAGTTTG